GCTCCAATAACTATAACATGAGCACGGGATTTCAGTCCATCCATTAGAGTCAATAGTTGTGAGACAATTCTTCTCTCAACTTCACCATGTGTCTTCTCCCGCTTGGGGGCAATTGAATCAATTTCATCAATAAATATGATAGATGGTGCATTCTTTTCAGCCTCTTCAAATGCCTTCCTAAGATTGCTTTCACTCTCTCCAGCTAACTTGGACATAATTTCTGGACCATTGATACAGAAGAAAAATGCACCAGTTTCATTAGCAACAGCTCTTGCTATAAGTGTCTTTCCAGAACCAGGAGGGCCATAAAGCAAAATCCCCTTGGGTGGTTTCACACCGATTGATTTGAAAAGTTGGGGATGCCTCAACGGCAGCTCGACCAATTCACGAATTTGAGCCATTTGTTTTCTTACTCCACCAACATCATCATAGCCAACTTCATCAAGTCTATCCTCATCCTCCCTCTTCACTGGTTCCCCCTCACAGAATATTTCAGTGTCTGGAGCAACAACACAATATTCCCTAGGATCAGTTTCAATGACCTTGAATTCCACACTTCTCATCCCTCCTCTAACAAGGAAATGGTCTCCTATCCTCAAAGGTCGATATGCTTCCAAAAAGTAAGCTGCATAAAATGTTAATAATTATTAAATTAAATCAACTTGAATAAAACATACAAAAATCAATATTTTTCCTCATAATCGTAAACATAATTTGGCAAAGGAAACCAAGGAAGGATGGATAATTTTTTACACTCAAACATTATTTACACCATTTAAAACTATACCAACAGAAAGATAGATAAAGGGAACTTCAACTATTGCAAAAGATTTACAGGCCTCCTTATAGAAAATAAGGAAATAAAGCACAAATTTAGAGTTTTATCATGCATGGGAAAGGTAACTTGGTAACAGATAAGCAAGATGACTACTTTTGACAATGTAAATTTTGATCTGGTAGATTTGCATATAGATACGCCTTGGCCGCTTTTCAGTAACAAAACCACTAGCATAGGATTTATTTAGCTCAAACTAAAGCAGATCAATATTAAAAAGAATGGTTAATTGGGTAAAACACTTACGTTTCAAATATGATTCAAAAAGATCTCCAGTAACCCCTTCAATTGTATCATCTATGGGAAGTATGTGCACGCGCTTCCCATACTTAACATCTGGACACTGGTGTACAGACACAACATCCCCAAGCCGGACCCTCAAATTTGTTCGGACAACTTTGTTCATCCTAATCTTTGGCTCTTCACACGCGTCCTCAGCAAGGGCAATAACCACAGTATCTTTCCTTTTCTTGCCCTAGAAAATAAATGGGTTAGAAGAAAACCAAATCAGGAGTATCCAAATATGGCATGCAAACCACACATCCAGAAAATCCAGACCTAATACCATTTCAACCTGTTTGTTTATGCACAAGTTATATGGCACGAAAGCCATATTAGAAAAACATTCTAGCATGTGAATTTATCTTACATCCACTATATGTCAAAAGACCATAAAATAAATAATAGTCCATAATAAATTGATGAAGTAATCATGTAAAAGAGTAGGATTTTTCCACCAGGTTTGAAAGAAAAAGAATATAATTTCATGGAAAACCAGAATGCACATTCCAGAAGTAAGTTGACCAAACATGTGTAAATGTTCATATTTACATATATCCATGCAAAAAAAAAAAAAAAAAAAGGAAAGAAAAAATACACATACACATTATAGATAGCCCTGACCCTTTTCACATTATGAATTTTAAGTTATTGGTAGTTAGGTCACATTAAATGATGATATGGAGATGCAACAAACGTGCTTACAATAATATTTCTGAATCCAGACAATAGTCTCTTATACAGTTTCTGAATTACTAACTTGCTGGTTCCAAATTTAAGCACAGGCAGATTAAAAAATAATAATTTTCTTTTAAAAGGATAAACTATTACGGAGCACATAGTAATATAATATACAAATTCTACGATGGAGAAACCCTAGCAATCCATAATTCGAAAAGATTTGAAACGAGCTTAATTTAGGGAAAAGAATGCTACCTTAATCAGAATTGTGTCCCCGCGGAAGAGCTGGAGCTTCTCCATGGTGGCAGGGTGCAGAGCAACGACAGAGTTATCATCGTTAACCGCCTCGTCAACGACAAGCCTATTCGGCGCCTTCTTCCTCTCCAAAATCGCTGTAGAGAAATCCCTCTTAGTACTTTTCCTGCAACAAGAGAAAAACACAGAACCACGTAAGACAATCGAAGCAAAACGACGATCGATTCGGAGTTAAAATTCCCCCAATTCGTCGACCAAGAAGACACATAAGCTGAAAGAGAAAGAACTCACGAGTCGGATGACTCGGCCTGGTGACTCATCTTCGATCTAGATTCTTGAACGGGGAAGACGAAATTGAGATATTTCGCAGGAGAAGAAGCGAGAACTGATGAGTGCGCGAGAAGAAGGGGGTAGGACTTGTCGAGACTTTTATAGATAGGGCCGGACGCCGTAGTAATTAGTATTCCATTAGGAAAATGATTATGTACTTCTTAATTGGCACAAAATTGGATTTAGAATCTGAATTTGAATTAAATTAATTACTCCGTAATATATAAGAATTGAAATTAAAATAAATAAATAATCTATCCATCTATACTTCTATACTTATCTTTCTATACTTCTATTCTTATATTTATATACTTATCTATAAAAACAACAAAATCATGTGAAATTCCGCCTAAACAATAAATATAAATTAGAAAAAGAAACTGATATTATTAATTGACTGAAAATATAAAAATATATCATAATAGAAAAGGAAACGAAAATTAGGCAACTTGAAAAAGAAAATGATTTTTTTTTTTTGAAAACAACGGATATTATTAATTGAATAAAAATTATAAAGTTTCCTAATTAACTGAAAATAGAAAAGGAAATGGCCTAATCAGTTTGAAATAATATTTGATTAAAAAGATAAATTGGAAAAGAAAACTAATAAAGAATTGTAATTCTTCATTTTGCACAACTCCACTCAAGCTCAAACCCAAAATCTTCAATGTGTGAGTTTAACTTGGTACCATTTAGACCACAAGTTTCTTGGTGTGTGTGTGTGTATATATATATATATATATATATATATATATGTGTGTGTGTGTGTGTGTGTGTGTGTGTGTGTGTGCGCGCGCGCGCGCGTGTGCGTTTGTGTGTGTGTGTGTGTGTGTGTGTTATACATATTAAAGTTTCATCAAAACTCAACAAGAGGTGGATGTTGTAAAAGTTTTATACGTGTGTGAAATTGTGAAAACTTAATTAATGGCACGATTTAGTTTACGAAAAATAAGTTTATGAGAACTAATTCATTAAATTTGAGAACATAAAATCAGATTTTACATTGTTTGGTTTATGAAATTGTTGTTTTTTTTAAAGTATCATTGACTCTATTATAATGTAGTATCTGTTCATAACTACTTTCTCAATCTGCTGAAGCACAAAGAGTCAATACCACTCTCGATATGAATTTCGAATACATGACCACCTATTTGAAATTGTTATTTTAATATAAAATGAATTTCTCAAACTTGAGAAGAATGAATTCATTGATTTCTTTATATATTTTATTTTGCACTCACATTTTGAGAGAAAATACACAATATGAATTAATATATTATCATCACATACATTTATTATGTTGGCACATTTGAGTATTATACATATTAATTTTAGCAACTTATTCCCCTCCAACCAAACAATCAATATTGCAATTAATTAATTAAGTTATTTTTTCATAAAATTTAAATTTAAATTTAATTATTTCTCAATATTTTGCATGAACCAAACATGCTATCATAGTTGTAGTCAATGAAAAAATCTCTTTAAGATTGAGTTTGTTAGGTTATTTGGCAAACGTTTTAACTATTTTTTAAGTTTTTTCTTTTTTTAGTATTATTGCTTTGTTATAATGTAGTATTAAAAAAATCCCAACTATTGAGATTGCTCTTAACATTCATATAAAAATGTTTTGCACATTGCCATCAAAAGGAACGATAAAATGCAACTTTGATGCGACACTTCTCCATAAGGTGGCTTAGGTCATCCACATTAGTGGATTTTGGATAGTTTTTGAGAAAAAGTGGATGAGGTGAGAGAAGAGATGAGTTCTTTGCAGTAAATTGAAAGTTTTGGTCGGAAGGTGGGTTCCACATAATTATTGTTCCGTGCTGTTGCTGCGCATTGGGCGCAAGTTACGCCTATCTCTCCTATTTTTGTTAAAAGCGTTCAAGGCATTGAATATAGGCGCGTGAGTTTTTTTTTTTTTTTTTTTTTTTTTTTTTTTTTTTTTTGGGTTTCACATTTTGTTTTCTTTTATTTTTTTGTTCTTTTCCCCTTTTCCATCATTTTCTCTTTCCTAATCACGCTTGTAAAAACTCCTAAAAAACCTACCACTATTAAAGATGCCCTTATGACTTTGTGAAGCGTGGAGTGAGGGTAATTTTGTTGTTGAATTAAATGGTGTTTTAAGCTCCCCTTTTGACCATGTTATCACTAAAGCACTTGCATATAAGGAGGCCTCATCATGATTCATGAATTAAGGAAACTGTATTTGTGACTATAGCAAATAAAGGATCACCCGACCAACTTGGCCGGAGTTACCCTCTACTAGTTGTATCATTGTTTTTCATGTTAGACATTGTGTTAATAGAGTGGCTCATGCTTTGTTTCACCATATATGCTTTGAATAATTATCTGGAGGTGTGAATTACGATGTCCACATTTATTTGTAATTTTGTGAATACTTAATGGATTTCTTAATTGACCTTTAAAAAATATTCGATATTCTAAAATTAATAGGACTAAATTAATAGGACTCTCTGATTTTAAATTTTTAATAGGACTAAATTAATATATTTATTCTAAGAAAATTGGATGCAGGGTGGTTTACCGACTGAAAGGGAGTGAAAGCTAGGGGGGGGCGGGGGCGGACATATTCAAGGCAAAGCGCGTGACCAATCAAAAGACAGGAAAAACGTAAATTGACGTGGTTAGACTGTCTGTCAAGATTCAAGAAGAGAAACGATGATGAAGTCAGTATTGGGATGCCAACTGCTCATGGTGCGCGCCAAGCCCCCCAACTTCCTTTTGAATCTTCTTCGACGTCACGCGATATGCCGATTAAATAATAAAATCATCCTCTGAATCGTAGAATCCAATCCTAGAGTTTCAATTTTGAGCCCAGGGACAGAAAAAGAAGAAGAAGAAGAAGAAGGAGAGGCGTTATGGCTTCGTCGCCGTTGTTTACCGGCGAGAGAGCCGTGGTGGTAATATTCGTGGCTCGGATCGTCTACTTGGCTCCGTTATCTATCCTCTACGAATCCATTTCTCTTTCCATCCTCGCTCTACTCGCTCTCTCCGTCGAGATCTCCGCCGACGACCACTCCCCCACTCCTCTTTTCCAATTCTTCAAAACCAGGTAGGAAATGGAAATTGAAAGAATGCAATATGCAATTCACCACTATTATTGTTAATTCTTCGAAAATTTTGGTGTTAGTTGGGGTTTATACACGGATTATCTAGGGTTTTTGTTTTTCTGCTATGAATTTTGATGAGGTAGACTGCGGCTGCATGCTGATACTGTCCTTTTAGATTAATTTTTTTTTTCTTTCTCCGTTTCCTGGAAATTTGGGTGACTTGCGGTAATTTCGGATTATGTTTTCCCCCCAAGAAATTTAGCTTACTGAAAGATATGGGGAAAGTGTACGCTTCGTTTGTTATATGAAATTTGTTCACGTTACTCTTTTTTGGTTAAATTGTGAATAGGATTTTGTTTCCTACGGATTTCTGTTTTTGATACATGAGTATTTGGTTATGGTTAGGCCCGGAGCTTCATCAGGAATATTTCTGGGGGCAGTAACGCTACCTGGGCTTATGGTTTCAAAGTTGATTCAAATGTCAAGAGCTCTGGCATTAGGTGAAGTTGGAATTGAAGGTAATCTACCTGCTTAGGTCATGTCTGTTTTGCAATTGCTAACGCATAACCCATAGAAAAGGTCACATTTACTGTAGACTTGTTAAATATGGTTTGATCATATTGAATTACAACAGAAAAGGTCACATTTACTGTAAACTTGTTAAATATGGTTTGATCATATTGAATTACAGCTGATTTGTAATCTATAAGTCTTTTTCATATATACTTTTCACAGAGCTGGAATATCTGAAAGTGCAATACTGGATTACCTCTGCAATTTGCTTCAGTGTGCTAGTTTTCCTCTGGCTTGTTCTTTTCCGTCAACCACGCTGCAGATATTACATCAATTCTTCCTGTATCATAAGCTGCATATGTTTGTACATAGGAGTCTGCTGTTTCTATTGTTCTCTGACATCTCATGGAGGTATGTTCCCCAACCACCATGACTGTCTTCCTCTGATATTGATGGGTTATTGATTGTGTCGAAACTATTGACGAGTTCATTTGAATTGATTTAGTTTTGGTTGAGGTGTTTAGGAGGATTGAAGCATTCATTTTAACAGATTTTCCTCTTTCTATTTTCATAGCTCAACCGACAAGAATGCAGATATATTCACTTCTGATGCTTTTGAATTCATCTCTTCTGTAGGGTGGAATGCTGCACTGTTGCTATTATGTCTCTCTTGTCATGGTTTTGCAGCTGTGAAACTAATTGTGAATATCCTTGATACTTTTCCGGCATGTGCTTCCATTGGTAGGCCAAGTTACTTTGTACTTAGCATTTCCCTATTGGAAAATACTATTCCATGTATTATCGAAGAAATTTCACATCATCAGATCAATAGCTACTTTCTCTCCATGCACACAAGTGAATGTTGTGAGCCTTGAAGATAACACATGCCATCTAGTTGAGATGTAACATCAGAAAATCAACAGTTTCTTTTTAATGGCCTTAGTATTTTTCAAATCTTTTCCTCCATTGAGTCCGGGTGGTAGGAGGAATACTGATTGAAAGAAAATCTTTCATTGAAGTATGTCTTCTGGAATCGTAGTTATATTTTTGGCATATAGGCAGCATCATCTTGATGTCAATATATAAAGTGAAGCTATATTCCATTGAGGAAAACTTGTTCTGGACTCCATGACTTCCGTGGATATAGGATTAGAGTATATGAACTACTTTTAGATGGCTTTACCAGTGATCTTAAAATTAGAAGCATGGAACATGGATGATGGATCTCTGACAGGCTGAGAAGAGCTGATTGAGCTGGAATTCAGCTATCACCTTCATTGAGGCAGCTCTTTCTCAGATTTTTATTTCCTTGTCACTCATAACCTTTTTCCTTGAGCATTAGCTTTTGATTTCTATCCAAATTTTCATGGAACTATTATAATGAACATTAATTACTTTATTAAAAAATTGCACCAATGTTCATGTCTATTTGTTTTTGTAATTATCTTTCTTTACATCGCGTTATAATGATATGATCTTATATTTCTGTGAGTTCAGAGTATTCTAACTTTTTATTTTCTCAACCACCAGAACTCAAGTTAATCTTGAGGCTGGTCTCTTTTGATGTGATAGTTTTAATGTAAGCCTTACCAAATTCTATCTCTTCTTAGGAGAAGCATTGTTGGTAACATCTGGCCTTGTTGCTTACCTTGGAGATATGTGTGTGTATACTGCTTCTAAGGCAAGTGCATTAATCATACTTTATTCAATACTCAATTTTAGATTGGTGTGATTAATCTTTTTTAAAACACTAAATATTCTTTGAGCAGACTCATGGCTACTCTCCTATATCAAATACGGCCTTTAAAATACATTATATATCAAGAAGTGAGATCAGCACTATTATTCAGGTATTTGGCAATTAGTTTAATTGCCACCGTATCCTTTTCTCTAATTGATTTAGAGGGAAGGACTGTAATTGAATTGACATTGACAATTAGAATCCTTCTCATTTTATCCACAGGGAATGACTATTGGCCTTCTTCTTCTCCCCATGCTGTTTAAATCTATTCTTCGACTTTTAGGACACTTGAGGGTCTTGTCATACTCTGGAGACACAGCAGATAATAGGATCCAAAGATCTTTTTTATTCTATACTTCACTGGCATTTGTTTTGGTTGGGATTGTTCCATCATGGATGCAAGTTGTTCAAGATTTTGGGATGCACCCGTTCCTATGGTAATCTTACTTACAATTCCCATAACATTTATTAGATGTGTATGGCTGGGTTTCTGCTGCAGTTATTATATGCATTGCATGATGTACACTTACAAAGACTTCGTTAGAAGCTGATATATACAGTGTATTTATATTGACTAGCTTGGGGCATGGCGTAGCATGGTTTTCTTACATCTTCTGTTTTTCAGGGTATTTAATTTTGTATTCTCGGAGCCACTAAAGAGGCTGTCATTATGCATATATTGGTTGGTTCTTATATATGCATCAGTTATACGGTTTTACAAAATTTCAAAACACAGTAAGCTTGAAAGGATTCTTCTTCGGAAATACTATCATCTGTTGGCAGTGTTGATGTTTATTCCTGCTCTAATATTTCAGGTAATTAAAGTTCAAAGTTCTTGTTAGTTGCAGGTTATTTTTCAATAATACTTCTTTTATTCTTCCTTCTTGCTCAGCTCTCCCTCTCTTACCCTTCCTCTTGCTTATTCCCCTTTTAAAAAAATACCTAGCTCCTCTTAGAAGTATGTTGACCATCTCTTTTCTTTCCCTCTCCCTTCAGCCAAAATTTCTTGATCTGGCATTTGGTGTAGCTTTGGCGGTTTTTCTGGTGTTTGAAATTATACGGGTAAGTGCCCATTACACATTATTACTTGATCTTTGTAGTGGTTTTAATTGCATGGAATTTCAATTCTAGCAACTTTCAAAGTTGGCTAGAAAGAGGCATCTTTCAGGAGTTATGAATATGAATTGGTGAAAGGAGATGTTTTGGTTTTCTCTGTTTTGTCATATATTAGTTGTCTCCAATTTTGCCACTGCTTGGTTTCAAAAAAAAAAAAGGTTGCATAACCATTGATTTTCTGGGCAGATTTGGAGAATTTGGCCATTGGGGAAGCTTTTGCACCAATTTATGAATGCCTTTACTGATCATCGTGACTCTGATCTTCTTATTGTCAGGTGTGATGTTTTCTTTATTGGATTGAGTCATTTGTAACATGATCTTCTCATTAACCAGAGTACTTTTCCTTATGTCACCATTCAGCCATTTCTCACTGTTACTGGGGTGTGCACTTCCAATCTGGTTGTCTTCTGGCTTCAATGATCGACCACTGGCCCCTTTTGCAGGGATCTTGAGTCTTGGAATTGGAGATACAATGGTGAGAAAGCTGATTTTCTTCAATTCTACGATTTTAGTCAGTATATTCATTTCTTTTGAGACAAATTTGTTGTTTGTGGAATCCAAGTGATTTGACTGTTCTAAGTCCGTATTTAATATGTTTAAGCAATGCATTGTTATTGACTCATGGGTTTGTTGCTGACCCATCTCTGCACTTGCTTAAATAGAATTTCATATAACGCATGGCCTGCACTTTAGTTCACATACATTTAATGAGTAGAAATTTGAATCATTGGAATAGTTTGTGATATCAAATATCAAATATGGTGCTCTATTCCACACACTTTTATGGGTCTTCTGGCATTTGAGATTTATTCTGAGCCACTGACTTTTGAAATGGTAGCCCAGTTGGTATTTTCAAAATTCACTTTAAGAGGAACTGGCTAGAATTCAAATTTGCATGACTGAAAAGTGAAAGTCTTGGAAGAATTTTTAAAAACTCTTTCAGTGTTGCTTGCCATGTTTCTTAGGCAATGGGAAGGTGCTCCTATAGAGAGAATAAGATAAATAAAATCATATCTACTTGGATCAGCATGCTGTCAAGTACCATCAAGAAGCCTTTTGTTTTATTTTTTAAAACTAATACTAAATTTTCCAATATGTACTTAAACTTTCTATCACAATTAATCAATCATGTTCTCATATGATTTTTCTGTTGGCAGTAATGAAGCCACATGTGATTGTTGAGTTTACCTTCACAATCAAAATGCCTGTTTTACACTAAATCAGTAGTGATTGTTCTTGCAGGCATCACTGGTTGGTCACAAGTATGGAGTTCTGCGTTGGAGTAAAACTGGCAGTAATTCTTCTTCTTCATCCCTATATTTCTTATGGTTGAAATACATAGCATGTTAACTAATTTATTTATTTTATTAGAGAAAACAATTGAAGGAACCGCCGCTGGTATAACTTCTGTCCTAGCTGCATGCTCCATTCTACTTCCACTTCTTGCAACTACCGGCTACATCTTCACTAAGGTCTCTCGCTTTATCCCTCTTGTATGTTTCCACACACATTATATACTCAGATGCGCACATCCTCCCCCATGTCCCTTGACACTAAGACTCATGTTCTTTGCTACGAGAATGGAATAGAATTCATTCTCACATGGATAATTGGCAAAGAAGTATATGGAAAGTGCTTAAACTTAGTATTTAATTCCATCACTGATCTTATATCTGCAGAACTTGTTCTCTCTCCTTTTGGCCGTGACACTTAGTGGTCTATTGGAGGCATACACAGCTCAACTAGACAATGCCTTCATACCTCTAATGTTCTACAGCCTCCTGTGTCTTTGAAGTCCATCCTAGAGTGGAGAACGTGTTGATTGAAAGACGAACACTCAAATCTAGTCAACAACTTTCTCGAGATTTATGGCTTGCTGCCGCTCTCCCCTTTGTGAATATCACTGACATCTAGTTACTAGGCATTTTCTTAATTTGAAGAGGTCGAAGTTTTGCAGGTTCAGTATAGTGATGTGATAACAAATTTTCATGTTCTCTCATAGGAAAGATGAATTAGGGCAAAGTAGTGATTGTAAAGAACATGAGAAAGGTATAGTAAATTTCCACTTTAATTTTTTTTTTTTTTTAAATTTAACATAATATAACTTCTACGTTTTTTTTATTGATTTATTTTTACACAACAAAACAACATTGTACTATATATCTATTATTTAGTTAAAATAAATTAATGGTTCATTTGTTTAAAATAAAATTTGTAGATTATCAGTATGTCTTTCAAGTGGATTGCGAAATTTCCTGCTGTTGTTAACTATAGTATTAATTTATATATTCTTTGTAGTCTCTATAATGGACTTTCTATATAATATTAGAATGAGTTAATACCCAAAATGGTCCATCGACTATGCCATAATTATCAATTTGGTCCTCAATTACCATTCTTACCCAATTAAGTCCTCAACTATGTAACTTTTACTTAATTAAGTCCTCAACTATACAATTCTTACTCAATTTAGTCCTCAACTATATAATTCTTACCCAATTTAGTCCTCTGTATTAATTTGACTGTTTGTTGATTGTCAAAAGTCGGGACAAAATTATAATTTTACAAGATTTCTCCTTCCTCTCCATTTAGCAGCGTCAAACCATGCAGCAATATACTCCGATCAGGTTTCGATCGTCAAAAAATCGTTGGAAATCAAATTCATGGGCTATCCGATGCATAACCACTACTTCGATACTGACAGGTTTAGAACCCAACCGGAGCTTATTGCTACATGGTTTGGCGCTGCTAAATGAGGAGGAAGGAGAAAACTTGTAAAATTACAACTTCATTTCCACTTTTGACAGTCAACAAACAGTCAAATTGACAAAGGACTAAATTGGGTACAAATTGTATAGTTGAGGACTTAATTGGGTAAGAATGATAGTCAAGGACCAAATTGGTAATTACGACATAGTCGAGGGACTATTTTGGGTATTAACTCTATTAGAATGTTATCCTTGATGATTATAGATTATTGTATACGTTAAATTAATTACATGTTCAATACTTTTTTTTAATTAATTACATGTTCAATACTTTTTTTTTTGAATGTTAGTGGCTTTATTACATTGTAGTATCTGTTCATATACTTTCTCAACCTACTAAAACACAAAGAACCAATAACGCCTCTACTGAGGCTCAAACTCAAAACCTTCCAAATGAAAGTCCAACCCGGATACCATTAGTCCACATAGTCCTGATTACATGTTCAATACTTAGTATCATCATAAACTAAAACTAATAATAACTATATCAATTTATAAAAAAAATAGGATTAAATTGTTTACAAATAGCAAGACTAAAATAAAAGAGATAGCTATAAGAAAGAGTTTTTAAATGAGGTGAGATTGTTATAAGAATACCTTTTTTGAGAATAAATTAAGAGTGTATTTGGTTCATGAGTTTATACACCTGGAATTAGAATCAAAATTATAGTTATTGTTTGGTACTTTGGTTGACAATTTTTTAAAACACAACTATGAGATTTGATTACCCTTCAATTAAAAATCACATTTTCTAGTTAAAAATATGTATCATTCCATATTATCCCTCCTCATTTGTCACCTCCCGATTTGTCGCCTCCTCGATCACTACATCTCTTAGATTTTTGTTTTGATTTTTTGTTCATATTGATGCTTTGAAGGTCATTATATTAGGATCAATTGCCTTGCTCTAATACAATGTAAGATTGTGAAAATGAACTGTGTAGTTATTGAGAACAATGCAGCATATAAATACTGTACAGGAGAGAAGTAAAGATAATTAAGTTACAACCACTAGCTAGTCTACCTGAATACATTTAGAATAACTAATTAACACAAAACAATATTAGCCACATATATGCTTAACATTTTATTCTTAGATCATACATAACCAAACATGGGTAAAATACTTCCACCAAAATTCATTACCGTTATCAATTAAGTATTTGATTTTCATTTTGGTTCCGATTCCAAAAACACCCTAATAATTATTGTCTTGCCCAACCTATCGAAAAAATTCAATCATAATATGGATTAACAAAGTGCAAAAACTTTGAGACTTCTTATTATGTAATTAAGCTACATATATAAGAACAATAGTGAAGCATATAGTGCATAGAAAACGGGAATGGGGCAAAACATAAGCATTGGTTTCAAATGGAGTTTTACTACACATACTCTTAATTCCTACTCTATCACTTTTACTTTCTTATATGACAAGTTATGATAAGATATTTTTATTATGTGAATCCTACTAAGTGTTTAAATTAAGAGTATGAATGTGTGAATAAAAGTTTGAAGTATAATTTGAAACAAAATGACAACATTTTTCTAATTTTTTTAAAAATAAGTGAAAATGTTATGAGAACAACTTTTAAAATTAGATTGCCATGAGAACCTAATCCCCAAAGCATCTTTCAAGGACGTATGGGGCATGTATGCAGGGCCCTTCACCCTAAATAACCCAGCAAACAACAGCAGTGGTGCAGTAAGGGAACACGTCTGATCCCCTAGTTTTTTTTTGTTTTTTTTTTTTTTTTTTGTTTTTTCTAATGCATTAGGTTTCCCGCGCCCAGATAAATAGTAAATCGCGAGCTGTCCCATCAGTCCTTAAAGTTTCCACCCATTGTCTGTACACTTTATCCACAAAGAGTTTTCATCACCTCTTATCAGTCAAGGTCTTCCAATGACTCCCAGTTTCTCAGAGAGATTCGAACTTCCACATTGTCGCTGGAAAAAGCTAAGGTTTTAGGGTTATCAATACGGTCAAACCAACTAAACTAGCCACGGGAGACATCTGATCCCATAGTTATTGACTAGGGGCTGCACAGCTTAAATTGGCAGTGAAAATACCTCTCTGTAGAAACATTTTTGGGCACAGTTGGTTTCATATTGTAGTAAAAAACTCCAAGCCTAAAGTCTTGAAAGTTCATAGTCGTTGCTATTTGAAGTGCACTTTGGGTGAATGCCGCCTTATGACTTTAGCCGGAAAAAGATTACAAGAAGATATATTAATCTAAATTGTCTATAATTGACAGGTTCAAATCAAGAGAGTCAATAGACACGTACTTTTCACACAACTAACTATCCAATCCGCAACTCGAAGAGTTGCCCAACAATAACTTGATTTCCATCAACATTGTGTCCACACACAAGTACACAAGTGTTGGAGTAACAACTAACTCCGATCCAACCATACGGATAAGGGTGCACAATGGGTGATATGAACTGGTGGGTCATGTCCAAGCTAGCTTGTTAGCATATATATATAATCCAAGGGACTTGGGCGGCCCATTCTAGGGCCTCAACCCAATGTTATCGGTTCAATCACAGACATCCATTATTGGAGGATGCGAGTGGTTAGGGGAGGATATGATGTTGAAGCTATTCGACAATAATGTGTAGGAGATTTTAAAATCAGTAGGCCATTGCTTGGGTTCATATGTTGGTTGGATCACTCACCTTAAGGCCATCATCAAGGGGAGTTTTTAGCATATATGGAAGATGGAGAAGGTTAGGTGGCAAAAGAGATATAATGGTGAGGTTTGAAATAATAGAAAAAGACAAACAAGTATGGTGAAGCACAGAAGAAGCCCAACTAGTGAGCTAGTTGATTTCACTCCCAACACGTTTGGTTCACGGAATGAATTTTGATTTTTGAGGTAGGAATGCTATTTCATAAGGAATGGAATATGAATTGTATTCTATTGTTTGGTTCGCAGAGAGAATAGACTTTAAGAATTACTCCGTATATTACAGTGTTTGGTTCGTTTAAGGAATAGAAATGAAATATGTTTTAAAAGACATAAATACCCTTATAAAAATATGTGGTGTTGGTGGTGGTGGTGTTGGCGGCGGTGGCGGCGGTGGCGGTGGCGGTGGTGGTGGTGGTGCTAGTGGAGTGGTGGTGGCAACAGTGGTGGCACTGGTGGTGGAGGTGGCGGCAGTGGTGGCGCTGATGGTGGAGGTGGCGGCGACGGTGGTGGCGGTGGCGGCGGTGGTGACAGTGGTGGTGGTGATGGTGGTGAAATAGAAAATAAATTTAATTGGGGGTAAAATAGGAAATAGCAACTTTAGGCTATTCTTGAGAACTCAAGAATAGCTTAATACCAGGGCTCCCAGAAATCTCTATTCCCCTTGCAAGGGTAATAGGTCATTCTCAGGAACAATGTTCCTGGGAATAGATATTTTTACCAAACAAAGGAATATATCCGCGAACCAAACGAGCCATCCAATTTTTTTTTCTTTTCTGTTTTCTTTATTTTATCCTTGAATCTATAATTTTTATTTTTATTTTCAAAAACTCAAACCACTCATCATGTCCTAAATAGAAAAGAAGCAATAGACAAATCATTAGGGATGTTAATTTTAGCCCAAAATTAATGGGTTGACTCGATAATACTAAAAGTTTTTAGGGTAAAGGTCAAAATATTTTAGTCCAATAAAAATCAATCCGATAAATCCAAAATCGATAAGACCGGTGGCTGGCAAATTATATCGTGCACCGCGGTGCATAATCGATTATATATGTACCGCGCATCAAAACAACGTCGTTTTGTTTAATGAAAAGAAATGGCATTCGTTTCCCACTGTTCCGCACCCTTCTGCAAAAAGTAACTCTGTTATTCAGTTTCTTTTTGTATACACTGCAGTTTCAGTTCAACACAACTACAATTTCATTTCGATATAACTACAGTTTCATTCGATATTTATAGACTCAAATATGTGAAAATGTTATTTAATTTTATTTTATATAAACTATAGTTTTATTAAAACACAACTACATGATCATTTTGATATAATTACAGCTTCATTGTACAATATACACTCAAATATGTGAAATGTTATTCAGTTTCATTTTATATACACTGCAGTTTCATTTCACAACAACTACAGTATCATTGTGATATAACTTCAATTTCATTTAATAATATAAAAATAATACGTGAGGCAATGTCGATTTATATATACTGTAGTGTCAGTTAGTAATTAACATATAAAAAATGCACGCTCCGTTAAAACTAACGGCACGCCGTTTCTTTACTTAAAGAAACGACGCCGTTTTGACCGCGGTGCACGTGCACCGCGGTCCACGATATAACAACTGCCGGTGGCTTGA